CCCCCGTCGCCGCACTCCCTTATAGACACACACACTAAAGTTTTTAAAAATAATTTAATAGATAAAGATAGCAACCGAAATTAAACAGATTAAGAACCAACCAAAAAACCAACAAAATTGCAAGTTTGCGCGCGCTCATCTCTAACACACATGATAAAGCCCTAACAAGTTGACCTTTGAACTCACAGGGTCTGGGCGGACAGGAGATCCGTGTGTTCTCCAACCTCCTCCACGCCCACCTTATCGGGGTCAAACTGAGGACACGTCACTTCCGGAACGGTGTGGAGCTGCAGCCAATCGGCGAAGACAACAACTACGACTTCAACTTCCAAGAGCAGCGCTACCTTCCGCAGGAGAGAGTTGTCAAAGCCGTCAGTTTGACTTTTTAAATGATTTTTTTTAATTGAAAAAAATAATTTGGGTTGGGAGAAGAGAAAGTGAAACAAACTAAATATTAAAATTTGAGAGAATAATGGAAGATAAATAAAATGAAGGGCGGGGAAGAAATTATTGAGATAAGGAGGAAGAGGAGGAGAGAAAGAAAGAGACAAAAAGAGGAAAGAGAGAGAGAAAAAGAGAGTTAGAGAGTGAGAGAGAGAGAGAGAGAGAGAGAGAGAGAGAGAAAGAAAGAAAGAAAGAAAGAGAAAGATAGTAGATAGAGATAGTTTTTTGGTGTATTAAATTCTTTTTGTTTTTGCCGCATTTGATGAAATGTAATTAAGACATTGTTTAATCCTTGCATTGATTGCGCTTTGAAACTTGGATTTTTTTCTTTCATCATATCGCCAATGATCAGACGTCTGAAGCTAGCGTACCCAAATAACATAAAGAGAGTAATGTGAATGTATTTCGTAATAAAGTACACTAACGGTTCGATCTGTAATCATGGACATAACCCTGTAAGGTTGACATGTTTTGATCTGAAGTACTATATTGCCTGAGAAGTTAAAATTGATATAATTTTTTCTACAAAAAATGTCAGCTCATTGCGTCTGGGCTGGGTTGTTTGTTAGTTTTTTGTTGGTTTTTTTGGGGGGTTTTTTGGTGGTCTGTTTTGTTTTTTAAAAATGTTGTTCTGTGTCTTTCGTTTTTGCTTTTATTTTTTGTTGCTGTTGTTGGTGTTTTAGGTTTTTTTCTTGGGAGAGAGAAAGAGAGAGAGAGAGAGAGAGAGAGAGAGAGAGAGAGAGAAGGGGAGGGGGAGGGGGTCTTTGTCATGCGATCTAAATATCCTGAAAAAGATATCATAACATGTCCAATTCTCTTCTGTCTTCGGTGTCAGGGTGACTATCTGGTGACGGAATGTGTCTACGACTCCAGAGGACGGGCCGGCCTTACACTCGTGAGTACT